CTCGTGAATTTTGTTCGTATCTGAAAAAAATCTTAGAATACGAAAACATTGGTGAATGCCACAAATTCTCCTAAATCACTCGTACGCACAACGTAAGAACAAATCTGTGCGTGCGAACGGTTCTTGCATGAGGCCCAATGACCTCCTTCTGATTTTCATTGGAAGGAAGTTAAACATGAATTGCCATTAAAGAGTGTGGCGGTGTAGAAACATTTCATACATACTGCATTAACCGTTGGCTCATGGCACAAAACATATCAAATGAACAGAAATCCATTCACGAGGTTTGTGTGTTTGCACATCTAGTGTTCTGGTAACCTGCTGTGATTGGACCATAAACCAATGAGCTTTATAAGGATTGGCTGCCTGACGTGACTGCTCTCCCAACCTGCCACATCCAACTGTCCGAGCTACATCAGCCAACTGAAATAGTTTGTAAAAAGTTTTGTGAGGAGTAATTTTAGGGTTGGTCCGCCGTTTATTCTGAAATCATTTCATCCAGAAGCAAGAATCCGTCTTTTATTTATCTTTAACTTTATGCACAGGTCATATAAGATCATTTGCTCTTTGATTATTTTGCCTGGGTCCACCCTGATGCTACTCAGTGGTGGGCACAGTTCCCCTAATGAACTAAAACACTAATAAGGGAACTAATTTCCTGATTAGTGCTGTATAATTTGCTAAATTCTTAATTCATTGGTGGATTAGCACTTGCTAAATTTATAGGCTAAATCCATAAGCACTGAGTTCTTTAAATATTATTGATCAACATTATAGTCAACAGCTGAGGGTGAGAGCTACTACTGTGCGTTTTTATAGGTTCTGACTGTTTTCTGCAGCTGTCGCCACAGGTGGAGATGAAAAAGCTCAGCTTACATGTTTGGAACCCTCTGCTCTCTGAGCTTATGTACCTGTGTGAGGCCCATGAATTTGTTGATGTTCTCGGACAGGAAGATGATGTCGCCGTCTGTTGTTACCACGGTGATGAAGCCCCCCAGAGACTGTAGGTACATATTGTCCAGGAGTCCATCGTCCGTGCCATTACAGCTGTGGTTGCTGCAGGCTGGAAGGAGACAACATGTAGGATTGTTAGTGTGGAGGTCACTGGACATTTCAATTTTCCATCGAAGCAGATAAACAGATTGTTTCTTTGTCCCGGTCCTCAGTCTGCACATCTCCAGCAGCAGCTTGCTTTTAGAGCACAATTCACCCGTTATGCAATTATCTTCAAATATACTCAGCGTAGTGTCCAAATATTTACACCTAGACACTCCAGGCTGTTCACGAGGTTTTGTTTCAAAAATAAGTCTTACAAAAACACTTGGAGTGCTGACCACAGCTCTGAAAGAAATCAGAGAGAGAGAGAGAGAGAGAGAGAGAGAGAGAGAGAGAGAG